AAAGCATTTAAAAATCATATTGTCAGGAAAGCTTTGTTTAATGTTTGGATAAGATATAAGGACTTATTGGAAAATAAAACCCCAAGGTGGCTGTCACCGATGGAAGCGAAAGCTCTGAAAAAGCTCAATATGGAGGCCAAATGGCCGAAATATTGGGAAATTTTAGAACAAGATGGAGATAGATTGAAACTGCAGAGTTTTGAAAAACTAAAAAACAAAGTGCGAGACTGGCTTCATTATTATCAGATAATGGAGGCATACAATTTGGACAAGAAAATTGGCTTCCAGGTGGAAAAATCAAAACTAGAAACAGAACTGTTAGAACCCAAAACTAAGAATTTGTCAAGAATGTATAACTTGCTGCTGAAATGGAATACTCAGGATGAAATGGTGAAATCTGCTATGATTAAATGGGCACAAGATGTTGGACATAATATTATGTTTGCTGACTGGGAACAGTTATGGACCACAGGTATGAAGTTTACGGCATGTAATGCCCTAAGAGAGAATATTATGAAAATGATATACAGGTGGTACATAACCCCAGTCAAGCTTGCAAAAATCTACCATTTGCCCGATAATAAATGCTGGAAATGTAAAGAAACTGAAGGTACGTTCTTTCACCTTTGGTGGACGTGCCCAAGGATTAAGGTTTTCTGGGAGATGATTTATAATGAATTTAAAAAGGTATTTAAATATACCTTCTTGAAGAAACCAGAGGCCTTCCTCCTGGGCATAGTCGACCAATCGGTGTTAAAGAAGGACAGAACTTTCTTTATGTATGCTACAACAGCAGCAAGAATACTTATTGCAAAGCATTGGAAGACACAAGATCTACCCACACTGGAGGAATGGCAGATGAAAATGATGGACTATATGGAATTGGCGGAAATGACTGGCAGAATCCGAGACCAGGGAGAAGAGTCGGTGGAAGAAGATTGGAAGAAATTTAAAGACTACTTACAGAAATATTGTAAAATTAATGAATGTTAGAATGATGACGGATTGAAGTTAAGCAGTTTCTAGCGGTAATGGTATAAAGAATATGGAAAAATTGGTTTTTAATATGTAAAAATTTAATGTTATAATATATCAAGATTAAAGATCAGGATTAAAAAGGAGGGAAAGGAATCGCTGGACTAATAAATTAAATTGGAATACAAAAGAGGGAGGTATGATGAGGTCTGGGAAACAAGTAAATGTAAAAGAAGTGATGAAAAGATGGAATTGTTTTTAACTGGTTTTTCTTTTTTGTATTTTGTATTTTTCCTTTTTACTGTTAATTTTCTTTTTAATGTAATCTTTTTCTTTTGAAATTTTAATAAATATCATTTTTAAAAAAATATATATTGGTTTGTTTTTGTTTATGTTTTATTATGTATTTTGTGTTCTCATTTAGTATTTTTATGCTGTGGACTGCCCTATCATCTTTGGATGAAGGGCAGTATACACATTTTTAATAATAATAATAATAATAATAATAATAATAATAATTGAAAAAGGCAGGGGTGGGGGCCCTATTCTTCTCTCTCTCCACTCCATACCTTCCCTTTGACAAAGACAGCACAAATACTTGGGGAGTGGGGGTTCAGAGTTTCTAAGATAGTTAAAAAAAACTGGTGTGTTGGGTAGCCTGAAAGCTCTGTGGTCAGCTTGGGCAAAAACTGAGAATTCACTTTTGGGAAATGTATTCATGACATTTTTATGCTGCCTGATAAATTGACATTCTAAGGGGAGGACACTTATAAGTAAAAACAATTAAAATCCAAACAACATTTTAAAGCGAGAGGTAGAAAATCTACAGCAACACATCCAAACCATTTAGTGCATCCATCAAATTAAAAATGGGATCACATCTCCTGAGTTATCTGAAAGACCTGGGAGAACAGAAAGGCCTTCGTCTGGTACAAAAAGGACTAAAGAAATAGCTACAATTAAAAGGTGGAATGAAGTTTGTAATAAACAGGAATTGTGATTTCTTATTTCTGTGCTATTCTGCCCCCACAAAGGTGTTGGGCCTGTCTTACAAAGGTCCTTCTAGCAGCCAATTCATCTGCCTCCTCTTTGTCCCAGGCACCTGCAAATCAGAGGCAGACTGTCTCTGGACTCAGAGGATGCATTGAGGGGCCATCTCTGATATCCCTCTGGAATTTATGGGATGCATTTGAAATGTGTACTAAGTCTTTGGCTGTTGCCACATCTTGTATGAGAGACTTCCATAGGTTCTTATGGGTGTGTGAAGAATTTATTCTACCTAGTACAATTGTCAAACAAGGTGAAGCCACCTGTTAATTAGTCTTTTCTCTAAACTGCAACACCCCCACCCCAGCCTTCCTCTGTGCAGAAAGTGCTCCAGCCCAGAGATTGTTTTGGTTGTGCCTTTCCAGCTTGCTTTGTGTTCTCTCCTTCTGGAGCCATGACTGGGCATGGGATAACCAGAACCACTGCACCACAGATAGATAGCATGGTGTTTGTTCTGCCTGTTGGACTGTCAGCGCCATCCTTAACTATTCCCACTGCCGACACTGCCTCTTTCACAACCCCATTACACTGAGCAGCCCCACCCCCCTTGCACTCTTGGACTAACTGAGACACCGTTAGGCTACCATCTTGGCCATGCCAGCATTAAAACAGTTCACAGAGGGAGAGGGTTGGATGCCAAGCTGGGATGAAGGCAAGAGGAATGGGGACTCCTCTAGCATCCTTCCCTGGGTGGTTTTTCCAGGAAACAGCCTCTCTCTCTCTCTCTCTCTCTCTCTCTCTCTCTCTCTCTCTCTCTCTCAACAGGCAGGGCTGACGCACTTTCCAATCCCGGCATCAAAGGGCGAGGTGGGGGCAACACTCCTCAGGGGAGTCAGAGTTGCCCGCAAACACATCGTGAGCAGCCAGGCTAGTTCCTGGACCTGAGCCGGCATCAGCCAGGGAGTCTCTAGGAAAAGGATCGGCAGCCTTGAGGCCCAGACGGGCTCCCAGTACGACGACTGGGACCAGGAGGAGCAAAAGAGCAGCGCATTTCATTGAGCAATATTACTTATCACACTGTGAAGTAGTATTGGCTAGGGAAGCTAATGTGCTTGGGCGGTAGTGGATCCTGGATGTTGTCTGCAGATGTTGCACAGCTACAGCCACTAGGCATGCCTTCCCCTTCCCCAGCAGCCGTTGCCATGTCCTGCTGCTTCCTACCCTTTACCTTCCTACCGCTCGGCCAGCCTATCACTGCCCTTTGCTCAGGAAGCCCAGAGTATTTGGAGACTGCGGCTTCTCCTGCCGCCTCTGTCCGTCCCTCGGCCGCTGGCCGGCCGCCCTCCCCCAGCGAAGAAGCCAGGCCGGGTCTGCCTGCCTCTGTCCGGCTCGCCCCTAGCTGGGCTTAACCGCAGGTCCCTCTTGGGGCCGGTTTATGACGGACAGAAGCGCAGCCAGGGTTAAGTATCCGCAGCAGTCCCCATCCAAGTCCCATTGTAAAGAGGTGGCTTGGAAATGCTCGCTGACATCCTCCGACTGCAGGGCTGCCGGTCCACCTCTGAGCTGCTCTGGAAGCGCTCCTGGCCGAAGGAGACGCAGCCATAGTCCGAGGGCCGCAGCGAGCAGGTCGAAGCTGCTCCTCGCTTGGCCAGAATAATAGATTCGTAGAATCGCAAAGTTAGAAGGGACCCCCGAGGGTCATCTAGTCCAACCCCTGCAATGCAGGAATCTCCGCTAAAGCATCCATGACAGATGGCCTTTCGACCTCTGTTTAAAAACTTCTAACACCTTCGAGGAAGTCCACTGTCGAACAACTCTTCCCATCAGAAAGTTCGTCCTGATGTTTAGTCGGAATCTCCTTCCTGTAACTTGAATCCATTGGTTCGGGTCCCAGCCTCCGGAGCAGGGAAAAACAAGGCAGGAGAAGAGGCACCTCGGCAGAGAGGGCAGCACCAGGCATGCACGCACGCACGCACGCAATAGCCTCTCTCGGCCCCTAGTACTCTGCTCACTGTCCCACTTGCCCCAATTCAGCTTTCTCAGTTTCTGTCTGCGTATTGCGAGCCTCTCCTGAGTTTTACTACCATGTCGGAATGAGCATCCCGTGCCTTTAAGCGTGGGCATTGCACACGCAGGGGTTTCTTCGCGAGGGGGGAAAGCGGAGCTTTGATGTCGTGGGCCGCCCCGCCCCCCGTTATCCCATACAAAGATGTGCATGTTGTATAGGAGAAGAAAGGTGCGTGTGTGCTTGGAGGGAGGGAGACGCCTGCGAAGATGGTAGGAGAGGAGAGAGCGCACCTGTTTGCGCAAAGGGACAGATCACTTTAAGTCGTCCCCCCCGCAATCTCAATTCCAAGTAGGCTGCATTCGCTTTTTCCAACAGGAGTTGCGATTTTGGTCCAATAATAAAAAGCTTAAACCTATTCTTTGATGTTAAGATAATGCTATTCAGAAGATGTAATAGAAAATTACTGTTCCATGCCGGTTCTATTTCCATTCAAGGAAGTGCTCAGTGGAGGCGCCTACCCAGGGTGAGCTCCTTCCTAAATAGTGCTGTTCTTTGGTGGCATTTTGGTTCTGGGTTCTCCACCCCTTAAAGATTTCACATGGGGGGGTCATCATTGGGTAGAGGCTTATTCAAACTCATCTTGTGCTGTAAGAGCATGCAGTGGGTCAAGATGTGCATACACTTGCCCCCCAACCCTATTGTATAGACGTTTATTTAGGGTGTGTGTGTACGTCTCTGATTTTTAAAAAATAAGACACAACTTAGATGCTAGATTTGCATTCTCTCACTTTTAGGAAGATCCCTTAAACCTCTACCGGCTCCCTGTGATCCTAGAGATGTTTTCCCCCAGCTTGCTTTGCAAGAAATGTGTCAGTCAGAGGTCCAAATTCTCTGGAGGCAAAGGCACCCCAACTTCGGCTGTGCCCTTCTACTAGGAACTCATGGAGGAGTTAGGCAGGAGTTGCAGAACCCCACCCATCCCGTTCCCATCATACCTACCCACAGGCAGCCACCCCCGGGCAACACTCACATTTCTGTGAAGTTCTCCAAGCCCCGCAGCTGCGCCAAGTTCTGGATGGTGTTGGGCTCCTGGCAAAACAAGGTGTTCATGTAGCACCTGCACTGCTCCAGGCAGGGCGAGGCGGCGCTCCGAGGCAGGAGCAACCCGGCCAGGCAGAGGAGCATCCCTGCACAGCCCCAGAACATCCTTCGTCCACGGAGAGGCATCCTCGGCTGTCGGCTCAGAAAGCCCCGCGGCTCCCCATCCGCTACCACCCAACCGAGCATCCTCGTCCGGCCCGGTTCTGCTCTCTCGCTGAGCCTCTTCCTTTCTTGTAAGTCATGGACCATATGCACGCACTCTCTCTCATACACACAATTGCTCATTTCCCAACCTCAGAGGGCGGAGTTTGCTCCAAGTCCTCCTCCAACAACACAGAACCCCTCCCTCTCCAAGCGTGTGACCTCCTGTCTCAGTGGACACAGCAGCGAGAGCAATGGCCACGTGGATGTGCCTCTTCTCCCCCTGGAGCACAACGGAAGGGAGAGGAGCTCCTGTGGCCCCAGCAGCCTCCTTCCAGGGTGCTCTTCTCGCCGGCGGTCGCGGTTGGCCCTAGTGCCCGGTGGGAGCTTGGAAGGAGCGCGCGCGAGAGAGAGCAAGACCATCACCGCCTGGGGGAAAGCTGCTGGAACTCAAACCGCCTTTGAACCAGCACAGACGTGACTCCTTGCATGCTCAGAGACTATTTCTTTTTTGTTACCGGAAACTCAAGTTGTAAATAGTGGAATGGACACAAAGCTCACCCCGCTCGCCCCACGATGCATATCACTTTCGGCCGCCCCGGCTTAACAATGCCTTCATGTGAGAAGCAGCACCGGGCTGCTGGAAGCAGTTCTGCAGACCCTTGCGCTCGTGGCCAGGGGGTGTCAGGAAGGAAACTGGAGACTCAGGGACACTGCGAGAGGAGCTGAAATGCAGGACCTAAAGGGATAGAAGTAGGAGCCGCAGTGTCGGCAGAAAAGGAGGTTTGGGGCGGGGGTGGTGGTAGAAGAGACAAACTGGTTGGGGAAGACAGGTGCCTTCAGGTGGGGGAATCTTTAGGGATGCAGAAAAACTTGGAGGCTGAGCTGCAGAGCGGAGAGGAGTTGGGTGAGGAAGGTTCCCTCTCATGTTGGGGTGTGGCTCTTGTTGGGGGTGTGTATGGCTCTGGAGGGTGCAGACTCCTCCCTCTCCTTAAAGGTTATGGGCCTTAGGACATCTGTTCCTTGCCAGTTTCAGCTCCTTCTGTGCCCCCTCCCTTGCCCTCAGGGCTGCCAAGAGATTAGCAAATCGATTGATTAACTGCCCAGCATCTAACTGATTAATCAATAAACCAACCAACACAATTTAAATGCATTTACATGCTGCAACACCTCAACTTTATAATGATGCTGCGAGAAAGGAGCGATTTAGTAACCAACGCTTTCCCTTCTTAAAAAATTCTAACAAAAAACTTTCATTTCTAGCTGTTAGAAATAGTGGTCTCTCCTCGCCTCCCACTATTTGAATACAAGCCCGGTACTTTCCTGCTATTATCTGAACAAGTCTCTGGCGGGGATAGAGGAGGCTATGGAGGAAAATAGATGGCTAAGTGGAAGAGGCAAAGGAGCCTGCTGGCTACTGCAAACCACTGGTGCCAACTTGAAAAAATATGGAGGGGGGAGGCATTGGCGTGGTCAGGATTTATGTGGGCGGGGGGGGGCCTGAATCATCTGCGACGCAGTTGGTCAGTTAGTTAAGCACTTTTTCTTTTCTTGATTTAGGGGAGCAGCTGCCCCCTGCCCTCCCTTGGCTACTCATAGGAACAGGTAAGTCCCGTCCTGCCTCACAAGACATGGCGCGCGCACACCATTTGAACAGCAATGACTGACCATCAACTTTTTAGGGCGGACGGCCCCCGCAAATATTTTACTGGGGGGTGAAGGGACCTCGGCCCTGGGAATTGGCTCCTACTCTGCAGACCGTCCCTCCCACCACCATGATGAAAGTGTCCCTGAGCACGTGTAGAGTAAATTTCCATTCCATAAATGAAAGGAGACGCCACTCTGTGGAGATTTGTTAATTTTATTTATTCAATCACTGTACTGTATACCCCGCTTGATTGTAGAAAACCTCAAAGCAGTTTGTAAAAAGAATAAAGCAGTAAGATTATTAGTAAAAACCATTTTTTTATATTAAAAAAAAACCTTCATGGATCACTGCCTTGCCATGGCGAAGGCGCTTGAATAACTCAGAGAAGCTATGAGCTATGCCGTGCAGGGCCACCCTAGATGGACAGGTCATAGTGGAGAGTTTTGACCAAACGTGATCCACCTGGAGCAGGAACTGGCAAGCCACTCCAGTATCCCTGCCAAGAAAACTCCATGGACAAAGACAACAGGCATATGAAAGTTATGACGCTGGAAGATGAGCCCCTCAGGTCTGAAGGCGTCCAACATGCTACTGAGGAAGAGCGGAGGACAAGTACAAGTAGATTCAGAGCTGATGAAGCGGCTGGGCCAAAGCCGAAAGGACGCTCAGTTGCGGATATGCCTGGAAGCAAAAGGAAAGTCCAATGCTGTCAAGAAAAATATTGCATAGGAACCTGGAATGTAAGAACCATGAACCTGGGTGTCAGGGCTGCCTCAAGTCTCAGCTCACAAAAGACCAACGCCAATCTCTTCTTACATACAAAAGTGTTTATTGCAGTTCATTGTTTGTTTCATATCCGAGGCGCGCAGCCCCACGTCTGTACGCTTAGACCGTTGAAGTCCCCTCTGAGTCAGACCCTCCCCTGCACCAGTTTAAGAGCCTTGCGCTGCTCCACCTCTTTCGCTCTTTCCTTTTCCTCAGGGTCTTCCTGCCCGCTGGGGTTTCGCCCCTCCTGGATTCCCCTGACGCGCTATCCCCCGACTGCTCCTCCCCCCCTCCGGCGGGCGGTAGGACCTGGGCCGTCCTCCGGGCGCCCGGTACGTCCGCGCGCCTCTACATTTGAACTTGGCGCGCGCGCCCAACCTCTAACTTTCCTTTTGACAGTTACACTACTCCCTTCATTACTCCCCTCCCCTTCCGGGAGGATGGCTTGCTCCGACCTCCCTCTCTTCTCTGCTGCTGGAGCTGCTTCCCCTGATACACTGGAACCTCCACCCCCTTCGCTGCACTCTGGCGGGAGGCTGGTCCTGACGCCCAGCTGCCACTTTGGGATCCCCGCTGGCCCCTGTTCCTGACACGTCCCCCTGGGGCTCCCTGGCCTTGACCACTGGCGCCCCTTCTGGGAATCCTCTGATTCGCTGGAAAGACTCATGGAATCTCTTGAGTCATTGTCATCCTCTTCCTCGCTGTCCTGGGATTCACCCCCATCGCTCTCCATCTCCTCCCTACCCTGTGCCTCTGTCCCTGAACCCCTGACACTGGGTAAGTTGGATGTGGTCAAAAATGAGATGGCAAGAATAAATATTGACATCCTGAGCATCAGTGAACTAAAATGGACGGGAATGGGCGAATTCAGTTCGGATGACCATCATATCTACTACTGCGGGCAAGAATCCCGTAAAAGAAATGGAGTGGCCCTCATAGTCAACAAAAGAGTGGCGAAAGCTGTACTGGGATGCAATCTCAAAAATGATAGAATGATCTCGATACGAATCCAAGGCAGACCTTTTGACATCACAGTAATCCAAGTTTATGCACCAACCACTGGTGCTGAAGAAACTGAAATTGAGCAATTCTATGAAGACTTACAACACCTTATAGAAATGACACCAAAGAAGGATGTTCTTCTCATTATAGGGGATTGGAATGCTAAACTAGGGAGTCAAGAGATAAAAGGAACAATTGGCAAGTTTGGCCTTGGAGTTCAAAATGAAGCAGGGCAAAGGCTAATAGAGTTTTGCCAAGAGAACAAGCTGGTCATCACAAACACTCTTTTCCAACAACACAAGAGACAACTCTACACATGGACATCACCAGATGGGCAGCATCGAAATCAGATTGATTATATTCTTTGCAGCCAAAGATGGAGAAGCTCTATACAGTCAGCAAAAACAAGACCTGGAGCTGATTGTGGCTCAGATCATCAGCTTCTTATAGCAAAATTCAAGCTTAAACTGAAGAAAGTAGGAAAAACCACTGGGTCGGTAAGATACAATCTAAGTCAAATCCCTTATGAATACACAGTGGAAGTGAGGAACAGGTTTAAGGATTTAGATTTGGTTGACAGAGTGCCTGAAGAACTATGGATGGAGGCTCGCAACATTATACAGGAGGCAGCAAGAAAAACCATCCCAATGAAAAGGAAATGCAAGAAAGCAAAGTGGCTGTCCAACGAGGCCTTACAAATAGCATGGGAGAGAAGGCAAGCAAAATGTGAGGGAGATAGTGAAAGATACAGGAAATTGAACCCAAAAAATAGCAAGGAGAGACAAGAAGGCCTTCTTAAATGAGCAATGCAAAGAAATAGAGGAAAACAATAGAATGGGAAAAACCAGAGATCTGTTCAAGAAAATTGGAGATATGAAAGGAACATTTCGTACAAAGATTACCATAATAAAAGACAAAAGTGGAAAGGACCTAACAAAAGCAGAAGACATCAAGAAGAGGTGGCAAGAATACACAGAGGAACTATACCAGAAAGAAATGGACGTCTCGTATACCCCAGGTAGTGTGGTTGCTGACCTTGAGCCAGACATCCTGGAGAGTGAAGTCAAATGGGCCTTAGAAAGCACTGCTAATAACAAGGCCAGTGGAAGTGATGATATTCCAGCTGAACTATTTAAAATTTTAAAAGATGATGCTGTTAAGGTGCTACACTCAATATGCCAGCAAATTTGGAAAACTTAGCAGTGGCCAGAGGATTGGAGAAGATCAGTCTACATCCCAATCCCCAAGAAGGGCAGTGTCAAAGAATGCTCTAACTACCGCACAATTGCACTCATTTCACACGCTAGCAAGGTTATGCTTAAAATTCTACAAGGCAGGCTTAAGCAGTATGTGGACCGAGAACTCCCAGAAGTGCAAGCTGGATTTCGAAGGGGCAGAGGAACCAGAGACCAAATTGCAAACATGCGCTGGATTATGGAGAAAGCTAGAGAGTTCCAGAAAGACATATACTTCTGCTTCATTGACTATGCAAAAGCCTTTGACTGTGTCGACCACAGCAAACTATGGATGGCAAGTTCTTAAAGAAATGGGAGTGCCTGATCACCTCATC